AACACAGAAGCCAACTAAACTCAAACAAACAAAAACAGTAACACACAAGGCTCAATCAGCAACAAACAACTTAATAAACTCTTAAACAAGAACTTAACAACCTGTTGGTCTGATGTAACAATTTATCAGTAATAAATCATTTATTACTGATTTTTTGAAACTTTTCGATTTTAATATTGTAGCTTTGGGCTGGAGCGACAGCACAGCAGTAGGGTGTTTGCCTTGCAAGCTGCCAGCCCAGCCAAGCCAGGTTCTATTCCTCCGCCCCTCTCAGAGAGCCCGACAAGCTACCGAGAGTATTTCGCCCCCACGGCAAAGCCTGGCAAGCTACCCAGTATGCCAAACACAGTAACAACAAGTCTCAGAATGGAGACATTACTGGGCCCACTCAAGCAAACTGTTGAACAATGGGAGGAACAGTGCTACAGTGTTACAGCTTTGTTATCTAATAAATTTCAACTGCAGAATTGTATCAACAGTTGTGGCTTTTGTCTACATCAAAATAAAATAAAAGTTTTCTCATAAAGAGGTCACTAGTGGAAGAAGTATATGAAATCCTGATACATCTAATGAATCAAAAATGAGGAAGGATAAGGGCTAAAGCCATAGTACAGTGAGTAGGGAGTTTGCCTTGCCTAAGGCCAACCCAGATTCAATCCCCCCACCCCCATATGATCCCCCAAGCCCCACCAGAAGTGATCCTTGAACACAGAGCCAGGATTAAGTCCTGAGCACTGCTGGATATGGCCTGAAAACAAACATAAAACAACAACAAAAAATGAGATAGAGTAGAAGAGTGCAGAACGAGAATGAAACTTGTTAAATTAATAGTTACTTCTACATTTTAGCACTACTTGTATTTCAAACAGTCAAGACTGGACTAGGCTATAACAATTATGTTAACATGTAATTTCTTTACACAAGAGCTTAATGGTTGCACGGTGAGATACAATAATCTTCACACACTTTCCACTAAGGAAACATTTTTGGATAATTTTTAGTGGATTATTCATAAAGAACAATACAGAATAAAATATTTAGGACCTGCTTTTGGGACAGGCTTGGGTGGTGGTGGTAAAATTCTAAATAATGGTGGTGGGAAGCTGTAAGGGAGGTGGGATTGGTATTTGAATATTGAATAAGTTTTTATGAACAATTTAAAAAATTGGGGAAAAATGATCCTTAGGGAGATAGTACGGTGAACAAGGTGCTTAGTCTTCACATGGTTGACTCAGGTTCAATCCCCAGCACCCCATATGGACTCTTGATACCTCAAAGAGTGAACCCTGAGCGCCATTTATTGAGCCCTAAGCCCTAATCACCACCAGAGATGGCAAAAGAACCTCTAAATAAATAAATGAATAAATAAAACAGTCAATATCCTCTGATTATAGAGTGGTTCATAGGCCCTCCCGTTGATCGTCGATTTGCTCGAGCGGGCCCAGTAACGTCTCCATTGGAGACTTTGTTGTTACTGTGTCTGGCATATCGAATACTCTCGGTAGCTTGCCGGGCTCTCCGAGAGGGGCGGAGGAATCGAACTCGGGTCAGCCATGTTGGCCGCCTGTAAGGCAAACGCCCTACCCGCTGTGCTATCGCTCCAGAGTGGTTCATATAAATTTTTTTTTTCTTTTTTGGGTCACACCCAGTGATATGTTACTCCAGTGGGTTACTCCTGGCTCATTCACTCAGGAATTACTCCTTGCAGTGTTCGGGGGATCATATGGGATGCTGGGAATCGAACCCGGGTTGGCCGCATGCAAGGCAAATGCCCTACCCGCTGTGCTATCACTCCAGCCCCAAATTTTTAAATGCTAATTATTCCTAAGAAGAGTTCGTTGTTAAAATTCTTTTTAATTAGTATTTCTTGTTTATTTCTGGTTTAAAATATTGAAGAAACTCAGAACATATAAATAAGCAAAAAAAAAAAAAAACCCAAAAAACCAAACAAGCCTTCACCACCTTTCAACAACATTTTATATACTGACATGTTTTTATATACATTTATATGCTTACAGTACATCCAACAATGGAACCACAATGCATGTAGAGTTTGGTGCGCTTTTCTCCCATATCACAAACACATTCTTGTCATTAAAATGTATTTTTTTGAAGCCATGATTTTTTAACGGCTACTGATGTGGTGTTTCAACTGCCAGTCCACAAACTGGTGCCAGTCCACAGCTTGAAAGCCACTGGGCTACACAACATGTAATTTATTTAGTCAATCAGCCTGGGGATATTTTGAGTTACAACCATCAACTAGAATCTGAAGCCCTGTTGGTCGAGAGGCTGACTTCAGGTGTCCTATGGAAGGTTTCTTATTAGAAACTGCAAGTAGAGATTTAAAAGCATTGGAACCTTCAAACAGAAAATTCAGTCAAATTCACTGAGTTTTAAGTGTGAAGGAGACTCACTAAAGATCATGTTTTGCAAAATAGAGTATATTATTTAATAATTAGTCTCCAGGAATAAAATGAATTATCAAAGATTACGGTAATAAAGACCAGTGATGCTTACTATTAAGAATTAGTGACTGCTGGTGGAGGGATGGGTATTCTATCATTGCATAACTGAAACCCAAGCACAAAAATTTGTAAGTCTACAAGTGTACCTCATGGTGTTTCACTAATAAAAATTTAAGGAAAAAAAAAGAATTAGTGACAACCTTTAATGTTTATTTAACATTAAAAAATGTTTATATAAGCATACATGCTTGTACAGTTAAGTCCTCAAGTAAATAAAGAAAATTATTATAGAAAAATGTATATAGAAAAAATAATGGAAGTAAATATGACAAAGATTTAATGGTTAACTCTAGAATCTTGACTTTCTCTGAACTTGTCTAATTTCAAAATTTTCTCCTTCCAAAAAAAAATTAATGTTAATCTATTAGTCATGTGAGTAAGGTACCGTAGGTTTTAGTTATTAAAATTGAAGGAAAATCAGTTAGGTTTTGCTAAAGATTCTTTCAGGAATGTGAAATAAAAAAGTAAGTTAAAAAGCATTAGAAGTTTATTCTAAGGTAAAACTAAGCCACATATCAATGTTTTATGTTGGAATTAAGTTCAAAGAACGATCAACTATTTAAGTCATATATCAATATTTCATGGTGGAATTAAGTCCAAAGACCGCTTTTGAACTTTATAGCTGTGCTTCGTTCAAGCCCTATTCTACATAAAAATGATATATTATCTGTTCTATCAAAAAAAGTTGTTATAACAATTAGGCAAACTGCATTTAGTTTCAGACTCTAGTTCTCTTTGTGTACTAAACTTTCCTGATGTTAAACATGTTTTTTAAAAATTCAAGACATAAAATTCAAACTTTGTTCTGGTGACAGAATTTGCCACGTGATGAAATGTCTTTCTGAATGTAAATGGTTGTAACTTTCTATTAAGTGGAATCCCTAGTAGAAAAAAATGTTAAAAAATAAAAGGTTTCAGAAATAAACAAAATCTTTCTATCAGTTCTCACAAACACTTCAAATAAATATAATTTTTAAAAGTGCTCCATTTTCCCCAATTCCAGCCTTAGCTTTGTGGCAACATCCCCCCACCCTCTCTTCTACTAATCAGTTCTCACTTTCTTTCCCTGCTGGGACACGTGAAATTTTCAGCAAAAGTGACTCATTCATTGGCATCTTGTCAAACTAACTCTGAAACTATAAGGAAGCTCAGCACTAAGAGAATTCTAAAGCTAGAATACTTTTGCTAACACACATCAATCTGACTTTAAAGAAATGAATCACTTTCAGAGCCAAATACATGCTAACAAATTCTGTTTATGTTTTCTTTACAAATTGTCTCCACCATGCCTTGTCATCCCCTCCCAATTTTAGTTTGGCAATCCCCTAGTCTAAAATACCTCGTCTTTGGAAAAGATAAGATGGGGAGAGGAGAAACAAAAACAGGCCGTCGAAAAAGTAGTTGTCCACTCGGCTTCGGAAAAAAAACCCATTCTGAAACACTAACAATTTTTATCTGTTCCATTGCAGCAAGTTCTCATAGTTATTTTCCCCTTTATTCAATGAAAACATAAATAAAATACAATCAAAAATCTCCAGAAATAAATTACTCTAACTGCTATTGTTTCACTAAATAAATATTTTTTAAAAACCATGAAAATCAACTGCTGAGAACTATTTAGTCAAAATTCTTCAATAAGATGGCACTAGCACAAAATATAAACTGCAAATCACCTTATCTGTTTGTTTCACACATTCACCTACTCCAAGATAGATAATCACTCCTTTTAACCAGAGGGATGGTGGTGGAAAAGAAACAAATGCTTTGTCAGATTACCATACACATTTACTCAGAACTCTATCAATTGTCACACTCCACCTGGTGGCAGGAGCTGCCTAAATTGATGAAGTGGATGGAGGTCATTAACCAATTCCAGAAAACACTAACAAGCTATCCTTGGGAAAAAAAGCAGGATGTTTTTCTCTTTCCCTATACAGAATGACTTCTAACAAGAATCTACCGAAGTTTCTTACGATTAGTCAACACCTTGTAAATAATAACAAAAACTTATGATAAATGTAATCAGGATGAGAGACCTATATTTAAAGCAATCTATTTACAACCATTCTCTCCATGTACATTAAGTTAAATGTCACCACAAGCCTTTAAAACCAGTAACAAGGAACATTCTGCAACTCCAAGATTTCTTATCACATACTCCTGTTAACTTTCTTTACCCCCCTCGCCCCTCTGGGTAAAGGGGAGTTTAATTAACACAGTTAACAGCAGCCTGCCACGTTGCTTTTAGATATTTGCCAGTAACATATACCCATGGGAGACTCTTAGAGACTGATTTCAACCAAAAATAAAAATAGATAAACAGGGCTCAAACAAAATTAAAACTGAGTCTGGCTGCCCACACTTATTTTCACACATGAGGAAAAATAGCAGTTCTCCTAGAAGCCTCAAGCAGATATATCTTTAGAACACAATGTTAAAAATATGTGCCCCTCCCCCCCCACCTTCCCCTACCTGTTTCTCACTCAAAGCTGTGATTTTGGCTTGGAGTTCATGAAGCTGTTTCTTTAAATCAGCATTCTGATTGGAAAGAAAAAATATCTGTGAGAAAGATATTTCATTTGTTAACAGAATAGTAGCAAGAAGTTATTATGCATACTGTATTACAAATGATGAAGCAACCTTAAGCATTTAGTCAATCAAATTTTTTTTATGCATTAAAATGAAGTCCTATGATCACCACTTAATGCACAGATACTAAAAGGCTCCTAAACATCAGAACAGGGGCAGCAGCTTTGCAGTGGCTCTAAATTACATGAAGTTTTATATTTCAGCATCATATCCTGTAATTGTACTTCTTTCTATTAAAATATGGCTATTCTTTAAAAGAATATGTTATTTGACGGAAAACCTACAGCTCCACTAATCAGATAAAAGTAGAAAAATGCAAGTTATAAGTATGGATGCACTGCATGCTTAACAGCATTCTCAATAAAGATAAGAGATTCTTCCTATTTGCCCTCTCCCTTATTTAGTAGAGTACACTTGTTATTTTAGCCTAGATTTGAAAAGCTGTCAGTGCTGCAACTGCCTTAACACTACATCATTCAAATAAACACACTGACTACCAGGGCACTTTCTCCGTTCTAAAATTCTAGGAATCAAAAAAAAAAATACTATTTTAGAGGAGACACACAGAGCACGCGTGTCTTTTGCTCAAGTAGAAAAATAATCCAAAATTAAACATTTCAAATGCTGAATGGAACAGAATAGCTTACTGTTAGACTGAATACCACCCAATGATGGACTACTCTTTTTGTTTCACATGCAATTCTTTCCATTCATCCTTCCTGGTAGTATTTTTTTATAGTATAAATTTTAAATAAGTCAAAGTAAAGATAATTCTTATAGTAGCTGAACTGGAAAACAGGAGTTGTGTGGGCTACCAATACCAGTTTTCAGAATCTATAGATCGTATGAGGCATGTACAGTATGTTTAACAAGCTGAACTATAATATACAAGTATTCTGTGATCATATTTTATTTTATTTTTTATTTTTGGGTAACACCTGGGGATGCTCAGGGGTTACTCTTGGCTCTGCACTCAGGAATTACTCCTGGTGGTGCTTGGGGGACCATCTGGGGTGCTGGGAATCAAACCTGGGTTGGCCGCATGCAAGGCAAACGCCCTACCCGCTCTGCTATTGCTACAGCCCCTGTGATCATATTTTAAAACTTCTATAATATCATATTTTAAAACTTCTATGAGAATTTAAAGGAAAGGTAACATTTACTGGACTACTATAAAGGTAGTATTTCTAAACCCCTTTAAAGGGCTCTTTCAAAGAGAAGAGTTTTTAAATGCTTTTTAAGAACTATTTTTAAAGCATTCTTTTTTATTTTATTTTTTGTGGATTGGGGTTTAGAATCACACCAGGTGATGCTTGGGGTTTGCTCCCAGCAATGTTCAGGAAACTGGGTGGTGCCAGGGTGAGTTGGGGTCAGTCACATTCAAGGCAGGGCCTTAATCCCTATACTATCTCTCGGGTCAGAGAGATTTTACAAATTTTACTATTGTAAAATTTTTACACTGAACATAGATAAAGCATTTAAATATTCTATATTTGAAACTACAGTAAAAAATAAGTGTCTTGAGGTCATAGTTCATAATTCTAAGACTACAGAAAGCCTTAGGAATTCTGACTTGGAATTTGTATGCTTACAGAAATAAAATTTAAGCTATATAAAGAGAATTCACTGTCAGTTCCCCCTGCAAATTTTCAAAGCAATTAACATAAAATCAAGACAACAGTTACTGCCACTAGAGATGAGTGTTTTAAAAACTTAAGATACATCTTCGTATTTTACAGACACTTTATTTTTAATTATTCAATTTTAAAATTAAATGAATAAAAGCAATATCTTACCTGTGGATCCTGCTTCATTTGAGCAACCAGTTTCTGGCAATAAAGAGAGAAAAAGAGTTACCAGTTTTACATATAAATTCACACTGTCACACTGTCCTCCCATTGTTCATCGATTTGTTCGAGCAGGCCCAGTAACGTCTCCATTGTGAGACTTGTTGTTACTGTTTTTTGGCATATTGAATACGTCACGGGTAACTTGCCATGCTTTGCCATGTGGGTGTGATACTCTCGGTAGCTTGCCAAGCTCTCAGAGAGGGGCAGAGGAATCGAACCCAGCTCAGCCCAGATCGTCTGCATGCAAGGCAAACGCCCTAACCGCTGTGCTATCGCTCCAGCCCACATATAAATTCACTATGGCTAATCATAGTTTGGCCCCAAATTGCAGAGTTTAATTCAATCAAAATAAATGGGCAACACCACTATCAAAATAGGACAAAAACTCCTTGATTTATATAGAGGTTACTATAACATTACTTAAGAGAAAAAAAAAGCAAATAAACCCACAAAACTACCACTTTCTATTCAAGATGAAAAGCTCCTGCATTTAACAAATCTGGAGATAAGAGGTGGGGAGGAACTAAATTTTTAAAAGGAGGTAAGTTTTTATACAATTAAAATAAGCTAAAAGCTCGAAAAGTCAAACAATCCTTTAAAATGTCATTGTACAGAGCAGCTTTTTTCAACCAGGGGCCCATGTGGGCCCATGAAATGTTACAAGGGACACAGGTGAAAACTGTATAAATGATGGACACACTAGAGAGAGAACATAGGACAGGGAGGACCCACAGGTGAAAACCAGGTTGGACAGGGGCCACGGTCAGAAAAAGACTGAAAAATACTGGTCTCAAGTCCCTAACAAGACCTGGAAAGAAGTTGCTATCATCTGAAACAGGCCGGTTTGTGTACGGTAAGGCATAGACTTGCAAGTCTATTGGTTAGTTCTTACCACAGAAGGAGCCAAGTGTAAGATTGGACTTTGCCACAGTCTTTTCTGCAGGGGAGGAAGGATGTGCACGTGAAGCAGTGACGCTGAGTATTGCAGAGTAAGTAAAGGAACAATAAAGTGAAATTCTACCTCCTAGGGTTCACCTGAGAAGGACAGTGCTACTAGAGTAATTACTGAGAAAGAACTTTACTAGGAAAACCAGAAGTCTAAACAAGGGAAAAAAGGGTAACACTGATATAACCAAACTTCCAAAAGCACTGCTGCTCAAGGGTAACAATAACCAGGAGTAGAACTGAAACAATAAATGACCATCAGAGGTTTATTCCTAGAAGTACTGGGGAACAAGCTGTTTGCCAAGGAAATTACTTGAGGCATGCACGCTTCTACTGTCACCTAAGTTTTTTCGTAAAACTCAGTATTCTGTTACTCTTTTTGTGAGCAGGCATTTTATCATTTTGTCATAAAAATTTTCTAAAGTATATACTTAGGAAAGTCATTATTGTTTTGGTTCTTAAGGCATAATTACATCAACTCTTCAAAGAATACAAAAAGAGGATCGAGACTATGGCTCAAGGGAGGGAGCACATGCCTAGCATGTGTGAGGTCCAAAATTCAGTCCCCAGCATTGCATTACACCTGCCCCAACAGCTCCAGGTGTGGCCCCCGACACCGAGCCATCAGGACTGCAGAGCTGGACTGTATTCCCAGGAATGGCCTGCTTTCACTAGTCCCAGAGCCATTCGATGTGGCCTCTATAAAAAAAATTTTAATGAAAAAAATTGTAAAATGAAATTCTTCTAACCAAGTCCTGAAACTATTTCTAAAAGTTCTCGTGTCTATATTTTAATTTTCAGTATATGCAATACTAAAATAAGCAATCAGTTACCTATCTTGCTGTTACTGTGCCTACCTCACACAGGCCCTAAAAACTCAACTCGAATTTGCTCTATTTGATCTATTATGCTACAATGATGAATTCTAAGATGAGTAAACAGGTTTCAAGAAATCCCCCTTACATAAAATGTAAACTCTCTGGTGAATGATTTAAATATATATAAAATAAAGTTATATATATGTATATATATATATATATATATGTAGTAGTTTAGGTTACCTGGTTACAATGGTGTTAACTTTAATAGTTTTGAGAACAAACTTACTGAAATCCCACCCTACCAAAGGCCCAAGACCCTCCATGACTTTTCTTATGTCACTTCTAGTCTACCTCTTCCTTCCACTCCACTCCACTTCTCCCAACTCTTTGGTAATCAGTTCTGCAATGAAAGGTCAAGAATTTGTCATTATTCAATACTATCTAATTCTCAGGGCAGGAGCAACAGTACAGTGGGTAAGGCAGTTGCCTTGTCTACAGTCAACCAGGTTTAATTCCCTAAGCATCACCAATAATAATTCCTGAGTGCAGAGCTAGGAGTAATACCTGAACATCATTGGGTGTGGGCCCCAAACAAAAAATAGTAATAATTCTGTTTTGTTTCTCTAATTATCACAAAATGAGATCATGTGATATTTGTTCTTAGTCATTTGACCTATTTCACTTGATATGATGCTCTCCAGTACCATCTAAGTTGCAGCAAACTGCAAGATTTACCTTTTCTCGGAGTCACATAATCTACTGTTTATATATATCACAACTTCTCTAACAATTCAACCGCCACTGGATATGGTGAATGACTTCTGACATTTATCCCAACTAGTCAAAGGACTTACTTCCTGTGTTAAACAACATTCTGGAGAGCTGATGTTGCAACTATGTGACCAAAAATTTTAAAAACTGTTTATATACATCATCAGTAACGCTTCTATACCCTGGTTTTAATAATAAAACACTAACTCTAAGAGCTCAATAAAATTGAAAAATATATGTGCATTTTTACTAGTGCAGTCTAAATGCTAGTTATACTCTTCAATTAAAAAAGTAGTTGGCTACCAGGAATTTTGCTCCATGACTTGGAGGCCAGCCACACGTGCTAGGGGAAAAGGAACCTCAGAGAGAGAAGAGAGCACTAAATAAAGGGTGTTGTGAGGATCCTCTCAGGGTGGGAGAAGCATGCTGAAAGTAGACTATAGACCAAACATGACTGCCACTCAATGCCTCTCTTGCAAAACACAGGACCCAAAAGAAGAGAGAGAGAACAAGAGGGAATGCCCTGCCACAGAGGCAGGGTGGGATGGGGGAATGGGGGATGGGAGGGATGCTGGGACCCGTGGTGGTGGAGGACGGGCGCTGGTAGAGGGATGGGTACTTGATCATTGTATAACTGAAACCCAAGCACAAAAATTTGTAAGTCTATAAAAAATAAATTTAAAAAAAAAGTACTTGGCTTACCTTGATTTAGTTACCAGAAACTTGACTAGTCTACTAAAGTGCTCTTTATTTGGGTAGATGGACTTGGGTGGGATTAGACCCAGCTTGCAAAACAAGTGTTCTGCCTCTTAGCTACATTCCCAGCCTCAAAACTGCTTACTTAAAACTGAAAATGGTTTTCTTCTATGACACTGGATTAAAAAACTGAATGAACTATAATATTTACAAAGTTTCTAGTTCTGAAAGAAATAAACTTTCTATCTATAAGCAGTGAAGCTACATTTTAGGCAAAGAGACAAGACAGGGCAACTTGTGCAACAAACAAGACCACCCAAATCCATACTGACTTTAAAGCTGACACTGTTATCAGAGCGGTTATTTTCTAAAGCAAAAATGAAGCAAATTTTTATTCCAATATACTTCACACTCTAAGTTGGCAAACCAAAGCCCACAGGCAAATCCAGCCTACCACCTGTTTCTGTAAATAAAGTTTTACTGGAACATAGCTCCACACATTTACTTCTACAGTATCTGTGGCAGCTTTGTCTGTACAGCAACAGAGCAGAGAAGATATGACAGGGATCATAAATGACTCATAAAGTATAAATATTTTATTATCTGGTCCTTTACAGAGAAAGTTTGTTTCTCTCTGCTTTATTCTATTCTCCATTCCAAGTAAATATTCTCCAAGTTTAAATATGACTTTCACAAATCCTCATAAAAACACTCAAAGGTAGAAAAAGGGGCGATTTTCCCCAAAAGGTAAGATACCCACAAGTTATCATTACACAAGCAGTTACTGAATATCAATCATGTGCCTGTCACTATTTTCTTAGCCTCTCCCTATTCATAAAAACAACAAAACAAAACAAAAAACAACTATATTCTCCCACCAGAGCAGTATCAGGCTTTCCACCCTGTAAGCTCAATGTTAGTTCTAATTTCATTCCTGAACTAAAATGCATGAAGGAGGAGTTCTGCCCCAATACTCCATCAAATGTATGACAGTGTGTGCCATTTCTGACATTCCTGTATCTGCTATGATCAGTAATCATGAGGATCACCACATATCCAATCAGAATAACATCATCAGACATAAATAAGGTATATCACATGGATTTACTATTATTTCAATTTTTTCAAAACTAGGATTCTAGGGGTCTGAGACAGTACAGTGGGTAAGGTGCTTGCTTTGCACACAGGTAGCCTGGTTTCAATTCCCAACACCCTATATGGTTGGTCCTGTACCTTAGGCCTGCCAGGAGTAAGCCCTGAGCATGGCCAGGTATAGTCCCAAAACAAAACAAAACAAAAGATAGTATTCAAAAGATAACTAGAGTAAAAATATTATTTTAAAAGTTAGAATGCTGTATCAATCAGCATATAAAAATTCATAATTACATAAAATGTCACATAACCATTAGAGATGAACTTGAAAGCCACTAATTTTATGCAAAAAAAAAATATTCAGATGTGAGTGATTATTACATAATTCAGGTACGTTTAGGAAAAATATTAAAAGATATTTTAAAATCGAATGAAAATCAAAATTTAAAATAATTCTAGTTAACTATATTTTTTTACAGAACTAGTATACTTGAATCCAGGATATAAAATAATATTTCAGAACTGTACTTAATTTTTAATTGTTTAGTTCAATTTAGAGCACTGAATATTGAGAATTGGTTCATCTCTTGAGAGGATAAACTAAAAGTGAGATATTAACTCTGTCATCCCAAAATTTCTTGAGAGGAATGAGTATCTCCAAAAACCACACACAATTTCATTATATCATCTTTGATCCCTGAAAATTTCAGATTGATTATCAGACTGACTACTAATATTATGCATTATTAGAATGGTATTATTATTATTCTAGTATGTTAACTTTGAACAAACTGATTTTAACTGTCATTATTCAGCCCAATTTAGGTATTCAACAAGTACTGAAATACCTCTCTAGAGAAAAGACAAATTTTTATTCTCCTCATTCAATACTAGGAAAGAGCAGAAAAATTTAAAAGTGCATTACTTATTATCTCATTCTTACTTTGGACAACCTGGCAGGCTACCGAATGTAACCTGCCTACACGGCAGAGTCTGGCAAACTTCCCGTGGCATACCCAAAATGCCAAGTACCAGTAACAATGATGGGTCTCATTCCCCTAACCCTGAAAGAACCTTGAATATGGCACTTTAAATCTCAGGGCTAGGACGAAGGAGACGTTACTGGGGCCTGCTCAAGGCAATCGATGAACAACAGGATGATTGTTACTGTGATCATGATCGTGATTCCTTTGGGGGGGGGTATTTTGGGCCAATCCAACAGTGCTCAGGGCTTATTCCTAGCTCTGTGCTCAGGGTTCATTCCTGGCAGGGTTAGTAGCAGAGTGGGGTAAGGGTGGCATATCAGGTACAAGAAATCAAACGTGGGTCAACTGCATGCAAGGTAAGTTCTCTACCTACTATACTATGGTCCAAAAAAGGCATTACTTTTCACATGCTATACTTAATGTTAAAATAAAAGCAAAATATACTTCACATAAAGTCTACCTGTTTGTGGAAAACTCTAAGACTACTTCTGAGCAATAGTTCAGCAAGACTTAGAGTAGCAGCAACTATTTTGTTTGCTTTTTATTTTCTTTTTGTTTGTTGTTTTTGGGCCACACCCGACAATGCTCAGGGGTTACTCCTGACTATGCACTAAGGAATCAGTCTTGGCAGTGTTCAGGGAGATCATATGGTATGTCAGGGATCAAACTCAGGTATGCAGTGTGCAAGGCAGGTGCCCTACCTGCTATGTAATCACTCCAGGCCCATGTTCTGTTTTGGAGCCACAACTGGTGATGTTCAGGGCCTACTCCTGGCTCTGCGCTCAGGAGTTCCTCCTGGCAGTGCTCAGGGGACTAAATGGGATGCTAATAACTGAACTCTGGGTCAGCTGCATCCAAGGCAAGTACCTTACCCAGGTTACTATTTCTCTGTAGCAAGGATTTTTGAATATAAGTACTTCATGTAGGAGTCAGAGAGTACAGTGTGCAGGGCTCCTCCCTGGCACGTGGCTGACCAGAGAACAGTTCCTTGCACCTCATACGGTCCCCCGAGTCCCACTAGAAGTGATCCTTGAGCAGAGCCAGGGAGTCAGGAGTAAGCCCTAAGCACCACTCAGTATGGTCCCCCAAAACAACAACAACAAAAATACTTCACGTAAAAACTGTGTGTTTGTGTGTGTGTCTTTGTGTGTGTGTGTCTGGGTCTGGGTCTGGGTATGAATTTGAATATATAGACTTATCAAGCTACTGTCTATAGAACATGAGAGAATGGATAGTACAGAGTTAATAGCAAAAAAATAAAACCCATAAACGGTCCCCCAAATTCTGAGCACCACCAGTTGTGGCCCCAAAACAGAAGTAGAAAATATAAAATAGTCATAGTCTGCTTTAGTAATAAATATTAATGATTTAGTAATAAATATTAATGATTCTGTTATTAAAGGACCTATTTTTGTCTTATACCTTCATTTTATATTTCTGTATACTTTTTCACATAGGAGGCTGATAGGAAACAAACCCAAGGCAAAGCATTCACTCTACCACTGAGCAACATCATAGCCTGCTGATAGAACTTAAAGCTTTGTTGACAGGCCTAGCAATGAAGAGATAGTGTAGCAGGCAGGGTGCTTGCGTTTGCAGGTGGTCAACCCAGGTTTGGTCCCTGGAACCCCATATGGTACCCCAAGCACTGCCAGGAGTAAGTCCTGAGTATTGCCAGATGTGCTCCCCATCCCTTCAAAAATTTTTTTCAAGAAATCTGAAATGTAAATACTTGTGAAAGCAATACCACTCTCACTAAAGACTGGAATAAAGGCATAAAATTGCTTATGAATAAAAACTTTAGTATAAGTGGTAGACAAGTTACCTTTCGTTTATGAAAAAGCTTTTTTTCATCCCCAGCACCACTAAAAACAAATAAAAAAGGTATTTCTGTTCTTTTCTCTGGGAAGGAAGCCAGGTTTACTAAAGTTCAGTTCTTAAAAGTAGCATCAATGAGTTTGTTTAATAGTGACAAAAGACAAATGACACATCTCTAGTACAGCAGTCTGAAAGATGATTAAAAACTACACTATCAGAGATGGGCCTGTTTGCTAACTTTACCCATTACTTAATAGCAAGATGTGGGAGAAGACAATAATGCAACATACCTGGTGAACCTGAATTTCCACTTTAAGAGCCTCCTGTAGAGTCTGCAACTCCATCCTCTACTTTCTCCACTTTCTTTGCTAATTCTACAGTTTCTTCAGCCTCTGTTTAAAATAAGAAACTCCTCTTCTCACTGCAGCTGTAGAGATCATAAAAAATTGTGGGTCATTTGAATATAGAGAAAATATTCATGTTAAAATTATGATAGTCGAAAACATTTGACTTTTCTGACACAGGGTAAGAAATTTTTCAAATAGACATTTTCCTGGTATGGATTAACTTTTTTGTACTAAATAATAACAAAATTTTGACTTTTATTCCTTGGGCTCGAGCGATAGCACAGCGGGTAGGGTGTTTGCCTTGCACACAGCCGACCGGTCCAACCAGAGTTCGATTCCTTCGCCTTCAATTCTTCTGCCCCTCTCGGTGAGCCTGGCAAGCTACTGAGAGTATCTTGCCTGCATGGCAAAGCCTGGTAAGCTCCCAGTGACGTATTCAATATGCCAAACACAGTAACAACAAGTCTGACAATGCTTACTGGGCCCGCTCGAGCAAATCAATGAACAACGGGAGAACAGTGAGAGTGACAGTGATTCCTTGAACAATCTTCTACAAAATACTTCAAATAATAAAAATATAAGATTTTAATGTGGTCATGAGAACATCCAAGCATCTGTTCAGTAATAAGTACACGTTCAGCACTAGTCTACGTTCTTAAAACAAAGCTGAGAGCCAGGGAGATAGCTCAAAGGTTAGTGAGTATGCTCTGCAAAGGCCCAGGTCCAATCTTCAGCACCTCTGGGAGTAACCCGTGGGCACTGAGCAAGCCCCCACCCCCAAACAAAACAAAGCTACAGAGCTGAATCAGACCACTTTTTTTTTCTCCAGTGAATCACCCTGAAGTACAGTTACAGGCTTACAAACTTTTGTGCTTGCGTTTCAGCCATACAATGATTGAGTACCCATCCCTCCACCAGTACCCATTTCCCACCACCAATGGTCCCAAGCATCCCTCCTACTACCCCCACCCTATCCCCAACACCTTACCCCACTCTGTGGCAGAGCATTCCCTCTTGCTCTCTCTCTCTTTTGGGATGTTGTGGTTTGCAATAGAGGTATTAAGTGGCCATCATGTTTGGTCTATAGTCTACTTTCAGCCCACATCTCCCATCCTGAGCAGGTCCTCCTAACACTCTTTACTTGGTGTTCCCTTCTCTATCTGAGCTGCTTTTTCCCCCAGCATGCGAAGCCAGCTTCTAAGCTGTGGAGTGATCCTTCTGGTACTTATCTCTATTATTCTTGGGTGTTAGTCTCCCATTCTGTAACTTTATATTGAATCAGACCACTTCTGACCTAGATTAGTTGAGAGCCTAAAGGGGGTGAATACATCTATGACATGCTATTTTTAAAGAGACACATAACAACCTGATCATACATTTTAAACATCACTCGGTGTACACTGGAGAGTTACATGTCTCTGGGAGACTAAAGGAGACAGAGTACTTTTATTTGTATGGCTCTTACTCTATTTCAAAAATAAGCACAAGAGGCCAGATGGATATGGAGTGAAGGCTCTTGCCTTGCATGCGGCAACCCTGGCTCATCTCCAGTACCTCATACAGTCCCCTGAGCATTGCCATGAATGGTCTGAGTCTTATAAGGCCTAGGAGTAGCTCCTGAGCATCACTGGGAATAGCTCAGAACAAAATAATTTAAATCAAATGAAAAATAAACTCAACATGGGAAAATTCTGGCATAACTTTAAAGTTTTCGCTACCAGAGAGATGGTACACAGGTTAAGGATTTCAATGTGTATGTGGCCAACCCCAGTTTGATCCCTGGCACAGGATAGGATACACCACGCACTGCCAGGAGTGGTAAAAAGTCAGGTCTAAGCCCTGCCAGCCCCCACCAAAGAAGTTTTGATTTAAAAAATTAAGAATTAAGAAAAAACACGGGGGCTGGAGCAATAGCACAGCGGGTAGGGCATTTGCCTTGCACGCGGCCAACCCGGGTTCAATTCCCAGCATCCCATATGGTCCCCTGAGCACCGCCAGGAGTAATTCCTGAGCGCGGAGCCAGGAGGAACCCCTGTGCATTGCAAGCAAAAAAAAAAAAAAAAACCACTACATAATTTCAGAGTGATTTTTTTAAACACAACATAGGAGATGTCTACCAATGAAACAGACATTTCCAGCTTTACAGTGAACATCATTTTCCAGTGAGCCCATACATCTCTTTAGCAAAGCATATAACAGCCAAGTGGAAAGTTCACTTTGTCCCTCTGTCTCATCCAGCCTATACTCCACAAGGTGCATGGCAGCACCCCTGGGGAGCTAGGAATTGAACTTGAGTCCTTTGAGCTATAACCCAGACCTTCTTTCCATTTTTTCTCTTTTATCTTGAATAAGATCTTAAAAATGATTCTAGGTACTCTACCAAAGCAAAAGTCTATTTTTTCTGATTATATTAAAACTTTTTTTCTTTTTCCTATCTATATAACTTATACTTAGAGCAGCTTTTCAGTATTCTAAAAACTGAGAGAATAATCAGAAAAACTACTACTCCTTTTTTTTGGGGGGGGTCACATCCAGCAATGCACAGAGGTTATTCCTGTCTCATACACTCAGGAATTACTCCTGGCGGTGCTCGGGGAACCATATGGGATGCTGGGAATTGAACCCGGGTCAAACACGTGCAAGGCGCCCTACCTGTTGTGCTATTGCTCCAGCCCCAAACTACTACTCCTTAATCCAGGCATAGAAAACCTTGTATCTGCCAAGGGTCACTTGGCTATTTATAACATCATTCATGAACCATAAAATATAGACAACAAGCTGCAGCAGCCAATGAGATAAGCATACATGTCTGTCCCATCACGGACCAAGGTCAGAACACATGACTTCATAGGCCATATGGCCCATAGGTCAGAGGTTTCCACATCCTTGTCTTAAACCACAAAGACTCACTATCTTTGCACTACTGTGGTGGGGGGGGAGGGGGAAGAACGACTGTTTTTAAGGCCACATCTGGCTGTGCTCAGTGATCACTCCTAATGGGGCTTGGGGGACCATATGGGGTGCCTAGAATCGAACCTAGGTCAGCCACATGCAAGGCAAGCTCCTCATCTACAGTATATCACTTTGGCTCCTACACTTTCTAAAAATTATCTGTGAATAATGCACATATTCAACTTAAGCTTTCTTAAAAATCTTTTAAATCAATTTATTTTTTGTGTGTTTTAGGTCAAATCTAGCAGTGTTCATGGATCACTGCTGCTGGTGCTGGGGGACTATATACAGTGTCAAAGACTAAACCAGGGTTGGTGGCATACAAGGTAAGTGCCTTAACTTCTCTATTATCTCTCCAGCCCCTTGAAACTTCTTTAAAAACTAACTCGGGGCTGGAGCAAGAGCACAGCGGGTAGGGCATTTGCCTTGCATGCGGCCGACCCGGGTTCGATTCCCAGCATCCCATATGGTCCCCCAAGCACTGCCAGCAGTGATTCCTGAGTGCAGAGCCAGGAGTAACCCCTGAGCATCGGCTGGATGTGACCCAAAAAGCAAAAACCAAACAAACAAACAAACAAAAAAAACTAACTCAATGGGTGGAAGCGGGGGGGGGGGGGTAATGGAAGGATGGCTCTAAGGTTTGGAGTATAGTCTTTGTATGTAGTAGCTTTGGGATCAATTCCTGGCACCATATGTTCCCTCAGTATCATGGTGGTAACCCCTGGGCACCACCAGGTGAAGCCTTTCAAAATAAAAATTGGGGCTGGAGAGAGAGGCACCAAGTATAGCCCTGGTGGTTCCCAGCATCACTAGGCCTGGCACTGAAATGGCCAACTGATTTGCTTGGTATTACTAAGTACGTCCCCTACCCCTACCTCTCCACTCCCCCGCAAAAAAAAGCTGGTTTAGCAGTTACAGGGTTAAGCACAGAATGTATTCTTGTGAATGTTAATTTTCATTATATTTGTTAAATCTCACTATGATTAAAACGGAGCGATAGCACAGCGGGTAGGGCGTCTGCCTTGCACGCAGCCAACATGGCCGACCCGAGTTCGATTCCTCGGCCCCTCTCGGAGAGCCCGGCAAGCTACCGAGAGTATTCGATATGCCAGACACAGTAACAACAAAGTCTCCAATGGAGACGTTACTGGGCCCGCTCGAGCAAATCGACGATCAACGGGAGGGCCTTTACCTTTACCTTATGATTAAAACACCAGTATAATCCTTTCTCTATAGTTTATAAACTGCATTATATAATACAGAAAACTTTTTATACAACTGCTTATATATTTATTGTTTTTTGGCTGGCTGGTTTATATTTACAATGTGATTTTTGTTGCCCGTGGCATGGTAGAGTGGAGATCAAGGGAGACTTATTCCAAAATAGAGAGTTCCTACCACTCTGCTTGACCCACCTTGGCCACCAGCTCTCAGGGCAATGCCTGGCCTAGCTCAGGTCAGTCCTAACCGCAGGCATTGTGGGTCTGTCACCTTTTCCCCCCAAAGAAGAATTTTCAGAGGAGGCAAAATGGTGAAGCAAGATAGTTTTAACTGAAACATATTTAGAAAGATATGAGGGGAGAAAAGAAGAAGTGTGTGTTTGAGAGAGAAAGAGGCAAGTAAAGAAACAGAGACAAGCAAGTGAGCTATGTGTTCAAAGGAGAACTGGACTTGAAATGCAAGCCATAATATAAAAAACTTAAACATAAGAGAGACTAAATTCCAAAACGCAAAATTGCTTTGACTTACATTTGTGGAGAATAGGAAAGGAAAATTACACAATGATATACGGTCAACAAAAAATCTTCATAAAGGCTGTATATTTAGGAGAGATTATTTGGATTAGGAGACATATTTTGACAAACCTAATTTTTAAAAAAATGTTTTTAACTGAATCACAGTGAGAGTAATATAAACAATTACAAAGTTGTTCATGATTGGGTTTCAGTCATATAATATTCCAACACTCGTCCCTTCACCAGTGCACATATCCTACCAACAATGTCCCCAGTTCCCCGCCCCCATCTCTATGGCAGGCTCGCTCACTCGCTCACTGCTTTCTCACTATCGCTCTCTCTTTCTCTCTCACCTCCCTCTCCTCCTCTCTCCCTCACTCCCCCCCTTACTT